TTCTCTAAAAAATAAAACCTATTAAAAATGATAAATTTGTTATGCATATTTTACCACAATAAAAAAATGCAGGGATGGAGGAAGATGTTCCATGTGAACACTAATCAAAAGAAAAAAAAAACCAGGGTAGTTGTATTGATTTCAGACAAAACTGACTTCAGAACTTGGAAAATTACCAGGGATAAAGAGGACATTAAAAAACTTAAGTCAAATTAAAGTAGTATCTTGAATTATCTGTTTGAGATTTATAGTAATGCAACTTAAGAAACTTCACGGTTATAGGGCTGATGTAGTACTTCTAGTTAAAAAATTCACAGTGCTAAACAATTCATTAAAAACTTCATTGTAGCCAAATGAAATATGATGTATTAGTTAACAGTTGTAACTTATTCTTTAGAACACTTGTCTATTCCCTAAATGCCCCATGCTTACTTTTTCATTTTATTATAAGATCTCACAGATTAGATGTATTATAAGATGTGATAGAAGTGACACTTACAGAAAGTATAGTCAAGCTCACCAATTCATAATGATAAAAAAAAAATCCTTGAAAACTCATTGGAAAAGTGTAAACCTTTCACAGTTTGTAATTATTGTAATGAAAGTTACATTGCTCTACATTTTTGGCATATTTGTGCAGCTGTCCTGCATTTGTATTTGTTGCTGTTAGACAATTTTTTTAACATCACAGTGAATTTTCTTAATGAGCTCAATTGTTAAGATAATATATATTATTTATTAGTAACAATATGACTAAAGTCTGGGAGTAGTCTGGACAATCACATGGAATCAGTATCACAGGCACCTACCCAAAAACTACACTTGATTTGGAGTTTAATTAGAATAGCCTAAAATGAGCTTGCATTCCTTTTTGCATTAATTTATCATCATTTAAATGTTTAATGTTCTTCCTGTTTTCCCTAGGGATAAGTAGTTAAAAAAAAATTACAGTTCGTTTCCTGGAACAATACCAAAATTTATATCTAGCTTAACACATCTGACCTTATATTCCTTCAGAGGAAGTGAACACATGTTCTCTGAGTAATCCCCTAGATGAAATGTATAGCCAAACAAAGGAGCAGTAAGATCAAATTCTAATGTTTTTTTTTCCCACTGAAATAAAATTCAGAAATTACATTAGCAGGTTTCTACCCTTTACGGTAAGATAGTCTGGTGGAGACCATGTGGGAAAGGAGAAGCTGTCAGTGATGGTGATGGTGATGGAGTAAGGGGAGAAAGAATCGAGGTGGAGTGAGTTGTTGGTGAGAGTGTATGGATTGATCCTATGATATTCATTTTGGAAGTTGTTTACCCAGTAGCAGTTGTGCTCTTTTTGTCAATACTACCTTGTGAAACTGAGTAATATAGGTGGTACCACCTGGTCACTAATCATTATTCTTCCCAGTGTACAAAGCTAATCAGAAAATTGGGGGATGATTACTTCTGTTTCTATTAGCACCCTTTCCCTCCTAATGTTAAGAGTTCCTAACCTAGAAAAAAATTGAGATCTGTAGACTAATAAAAAGAAGGGTTTTTTTTTCTTTAACTTAAAGAAAAATGCCATTTACTTTTTTAAAAATTGGTAAGTGGGAACATAAAACTCTTTAGCATAACTGCTGATCTTTGGGAGAAAACTATTCCCTGCATTGTGCCCTTAGTGAGTAGAATAGCATTATCCTTTGGGCCAAATAAAACTCAGCCAAGAACTAAACCAGATCTTCAGCCTGAGGTTTCCTAGCTTTGGTTATAAGTCAGTGCTTTTCATCCTCAGTACTGTTCACGTTTAAGGTGGATCATTCTTTGTTCTGTGGGGCTGTCCAGTGCATTCTGGGGTGTTTTAGCAGCATTTCTGCCTCTACCCACTAGATGCCAGTAACATCCCTCCCCCTCCAGCTGTGACAACTAAAAACGTCTCCAGATACTGCCAAATGGGAGGTAAACTCACTCCTGTGGGATCCTCTTTCCCTCCTCCACTCTCCCCACCCTGTTTGAGAACCACTGCTCTAAATGTATTAGGTGATTTGATGATAAAGAATATTTTACAGATTTTAGTTTTACTTTTAAATATCTTGTCCTATTTTAAGTATCTTGGTAGAATAGTCTTTACTTTTAATAACTGTAAAAATTAACTGGAAACATATTACTAATTTGGGGGTGAAAGTGAGGACAATGTCTTTCCTTGATTTGAGAATTCAACAATATGACCTTTGGATGCTTACTACGGTGTTTTTCAGACTGCAGGTGGGAACCCATTAGTGGGTCATGAAATAGTTTTGTGGGTCAGGAATATGCATTCAAGAGTGTATAGGGTCACCATGTAAAATGTATTTCTTTGATTCGAATAGTAGAAAAATATATGAATATGTTTATGCCCAGCCTTCCCTTTTGAACTGTAATATTCTAAACGTATACTTCATAGCAGTAGGTGCTTAGTTAAGCTGTTTGTCTAATCAGGTTAAACTTGTCAAATATTCCATGAAATGTGAAACATCCAAACTTGTTCATTGCAGTAGATTGGAGACTTACTTTTAACTTTGGTTTCTGGTGCCTATCATCTTGTTTGTGAGAGGAGGAAGTTCTGAACTCCATCACATATTTTAGAACATTCTTGGCACATTACTTGCGGACTGTTAATGCCCTCCCCTTCGCAAGATTCTGAAAAAGGACAGCTCCATTTTAATTGTTTTCTTCATCAGCATGCACGCAAAAGTCCTGTTTTTCATCAGTTTTTCTTTTGTTGACTTTTGTAGAGATTATGCTTCATGGGGTTGAAAGAGAAAGAAATGTTTTGTGTATTTATTGAGAATCAAACATAAACATCAGCATAAGACATCTAAAACTTAGTGCTAACGCTCTGTGCTCTTTTTGTAAAATTCATTTTAAAATGACAACCTTAAGCTGAATAATACCCTATGGAGAATACATGAAATGTGACAATCTGCCATTACAAAACACTGGATCCGGCTGTTAATAGGAAATTCTTGACTTTCTGAAATCCATAAACACCTCCAATCACTTAAAAAGCTGCCTTAGTTTCTATTTACCAAAGAAATACATTTATATTTTGAGTTATTTCATTTATTCAGTGTTTTTTTAAAGATTGAAACACTTGCAGGAAGCACATTTTCATCTTTTCAATAGTAAGAGAACATTTCAAACTAGTTTCATAATGTTAGAAATTCTTCTTAGGATAGTTGTTTTTTTCTCTAAGGAAAAATGTTACTGATTGTTCAAGTTATCTATATTTCTGTTCATTTACTTTCACAGTGGTGATTTTTATACTCCTGTGTTTTTAATTTAGCTGATATCCAGCAGAGATATTCAAGATTTTCATGATAGTTTCAGGGGAAATTTGCAGTTATTTTTTTTCTGGATTGTATAACATCCTAAGTTTTATATTTGCAAAAGATCAGTGGGTATATTGCATAAAACCCCATATATTTATTTCATTCTGCTTTTATATATTTTTATATTATTGAGCTGCTATGCCTAGTTCTTGTGTGTGAAATGAAAGCAGGTATAAAAGATAGCTAAAGTTTAATGTTGATTAAAAACTAAGCTTTATATGAGAAATATTTGTTTAGGAAGCCATATAACTATTATACTATTGATCTTTAAAAGTAGACTATAGAGTGAAACTAGTATGGACTTGAGAATAAAATTTCTTTATAAGCAAAGGATATGATTTTTAAGTATTGTCATAAGAATTTAGGTACAGAGTTGTTCCAACTTCATTAAAGTTAGTTTTAAGACTACTTTGAAATTGCTTTTTCAGAGGTTAATACAGTTGCCCTATTCATTCAATTAGTAAACTTTTATTTGTCACCCCCTACTTGCTAGATACTATGTGAAGTTCTTATTCATAGGCCTTTAAAAGACTTCATCTGTTCTAGTAAATGATATCAACACTACATTGTCTTAAAAATAATAAATCAAGATAATAGAAAATTCTGTTACAACCATCTGTGTCCATATCGAGATTAAAAATCCAGCAGTGTCACTTTTAGTATAGCTTTTTGTGAAAGTACAGTACTATTTCAAAAGGTGATTATAAATAACTCTTGAAGGAAAAAATCTGTTTTTTTAAAAGGCTACATTCATGATCCCATTAGAAGAGATTCATTTGAAGGCCATCATTTCAAAATGCTAAAAAGTATAATTGGAGTGGCAGTTTATTTAGAATTAGTGAAAATTCTAAATAAACATTAATGCTTCCTTCTAGGTGCTCAGTGAAAAAAAAATACAAACTTTATGATAAAGGGAAAGATGCAAATATTTCATTTTTATAAACATGTTAAGTTACCTAAGTTTCCAAATCCAGTTGCTGAAGAAATATCTGGAACAAATTATGCTGCCAACACATGAAGATTATTTTTCCTAATCTTTAATAAGCCATTAAACTGTTACTTTTTTCTTTGGGGGAGGGACTTCTAAGAAAGTCAAATTTCAATCGAATATAGAATTAAACTTTATTAATGGATTCAAGAAGGAATGCCTTATAGTCTATAATATGATCAGTAATCTACATAATCCTTAATATATATGAAGTGATTTTTTAGAGATTATTCAACATCTCACAGAGATTTTAGGAGTTTGTGACATTTGCAAATAAATAGATGAAGCTGGTCACATATTTTTATATTTTACTTTTTCAACAATTACTATAAGTTAGTACTCTTAAAGATCAAATTTATGATGATATGTATATATATTTAACTGTTATATTTACTTTTTTTGTTCAGAATGGGAAGTTCTTTGAACTTATAAGTTATGTAAGTAATCATTTATTATTTTGACCTAACTTGGCTTCTCTTGGCTCCTATAAGTAGATGTGCTAAGAACTATGTCATCTGTTTCATCCTGTGTAAAGAAAATATTGGTGGTATAAAATACCCAATGTCACATTTATTTTTAAATCTTCACAAAAAATCGTAATTACTTGTAGTATAAGTTAAAGATGGAAGAGCAATTTATCATTCTTTTAACTTTTTTTTTTAAAGGTGATGGATGTGGACACACTCTACTAGGCCCTGAAAGTGGAACCCTTACATCCATAAACTACCCGCAGACCTATCCCAACAGCACTGTTTGTGAATGGGAGATCCGTGTAAAGGTGGGAGAGAGAGTTCGCATCAAATTTGGTGACTTTGACATTGAAGATTCTGATTCTTGTCATTTTAATTATTTGAGAATTTATAATGGAATTGGAGTCAGCAGAACCGAAATAGGTAGGACATTTTCTTATAAATGTACATGTGAATACATCATTGTCCCAAGTTTGAAAACTAAAGGAATTTTTGATGCTTAACATTGAATGACTATGCTGCATAAGGCAATATGTGAGAAATTGTTGAAAATGTGTGGAAATCTCAAGTTTGAATCTTCTTTCACGAAGAGAAGATTCTTGTCTCTTTACCTTGTTCATTTACTTTTCTAATAAGCCTGTGTTGGTGCCTTTGCCACTGTACTACTTCTAAGGAGAAGTTAAGTTATCTAATTTTTTATTTTTTCCGTTGCTCATTTTATTTGCAGTTGAAGAATACAGATATAATTCATGCATAGGAGGCAGTATAGCATGGTGATTAAGAGCATGGGTTGTGGATCCAGACTTCTGGGATTAAAGCCTAACTCTAACTCTGCCATTAGCTTCTTGTTTGACCTTAGGCAAGTTGCCTGACTTCTCTGTTTGCTCACTTGTAAATCAGGGAATAAATACTCTATAAAGTGCTTAGAACAGTACCTGACACTTAAAATGCTTAGTAAATGTTACATGCTATTGTTATTATTCTTGATTAAGAACAGTGGTTATCAGTAATAGCTGCATTTTAGAGTCACATGAGGAAATTTTTTAAAAATACTGTATACCTGGTTCCCCTCCTACACAAGTTGAATCAGAATTAATTGAGTAGGACCTAGGCTTCAATATTTTAAAAGCTTTCCAGGAAAAATCTACTTTGCAGTCAAGGTTTAAAAACTCTGGCTTAGAGATCAGTGCCTTTCTCTTAAACAAGAAAGGTAGAAAATTTTGTAAGGCTGTTTGGGTGAAATAAAGTTATAAAATTAAGAACTCTTGACTTCTCTGAGTTTATTTGGAAACATTCATTGGTATCAGTGTGTAAAATATCTTTTAGAACTATAAAAGTTCTGGGTTCTAGTACTGGTCGCTAATGTCTTATGCGTTAAATACCATACTATGTTCATTCTCTGGCCTTCTCTACCCAAATCCTTCATCTCTTCTCTACTTTTCGGCCTGTTATCTACCAGAGGAAAAATTCCTGTCCTGTTTTCCTGGCTGCTGAAAACCACTGTTGTTTCTTAATCAATTTCCATGAATATATGGTGTTGGATAAAGTTTTAGGAACTCAAATCACCTGAGGATGTAGAAACACTATTGCTGGAATACGAATAAAAGACAACTGAATAATAAATGCCTCCTGAGGATGCAGTAGAGAATAGACAGTACCACCTGAGCACTCTTGAAACAGCAGCAAAAAAGGAGAACCACAATCTTGTCAAGCCTCTAGCATTTTACAGGAAATAATGGAAATAGAGAAATATATTACACTAACTGTAAGGACTAAATTAAGAATATGAGAAATTCTATAGAACAAATGACCTAGTTTCTTCCGCATATAAATAGGATTTTTAAAAAAGAAAGACGACAACAGAGAGGGAACTGTCCTACTTTGAGACATATCTTCCAGAAGTAATGTGTGGACTTTGGATCTTGATTCAAACTAACCAGCTGAAAGAAGATACTTTTAGGATTAGAGAGAAATTTTAAGAGGAACTGGGCATTCAGTGATGGTCAAGAATGATTGTTTTAGATGTGGTAATGCTATAATTGTTTTCTAAGTTCTAATTTGTTAGAGACATTCTGAAGTTCAAATGAAATGTCTAAAATTTATTTTTCTTTTAGGAAAAGAGTGAGGGAGAGGGATAGGCAAAACAAGAATGGCACATTGGTAAATCTGAGTAATGGGCATATGGGCATCACTACACTCTTCTCTCATCTTTGGTGTATTTTTGAGAATTCGCATTATAAGAAGAATTTTATTAAAATAAAAGATGAGAGAATTATATATTTTGACAATAAATTGTGGCAGTGTTGCTAGAGAGAAAGAGTGACATGGGAAAAATTTTTAGCACAGAGTTGAAATCACTCACTGGGTTCTAGTCACTCCAGGAGCTGCTTGCTGAGTCCTTCCTGCAAGTCACTGAACTTGCCCAGACTTCAAAGTCATATTTCGTACTATATGAAGATTAAATGAAATTAATACTTTGCTGTGTTTGACATGCAATAGGTGTCTAATAAATCTTAGCTGTCCCTTATTTCCATTGTTACTTGTCTTTTCCTCATTCTCTTCACATGGTGAGTGAAAGCTGCAGGAAGGTCAAGGGGACTGAGTGGTGATGATCCCTGTTGGACTTCAGTTTGCACACCTCCCCTATCACCACCTACCATGGACCAACTGGTCTTCCATTTTGGTAGCAGTCTATGGTTATTGGTAGAAAGATAAGTTTCCTGACATATTGCAGAGGAATAAAGATCATTCAAGAATAACCATTTAACATTCTGGTTAAGGTAGAACTGCAGAAAATTACAGGATAGAAACAAATGCATTGTGGGCATCAAGATTCCAGTGATAAAGGGTACTGAATCCTCTTTATCCTATGTCATCTTTTCTCGCTGTCCCTTTAGAAAAAAGGCATTAAAGGGGAGGACAGCTCCTTGGTCTCTCTGTGTTTTGTCTCTCTGTGATGTTGATGTGTTTGAAGTATATGAGCTAATTATTTTTTAAGATGTTCCTTAATTTGGTTTGTTTGATGCTTCCTCATGATTAGATTCAGATTACAGACTTTGGCAGGAACACCACAGAAGTGATGTTCTCAGTGTATTGTATCATGGCACACGATGTCAATTTTTCCTCTTACTGGTGATGTTTGCTTTGACAACTTGGCTAAGGTGATGTCTCCCAGGTTTCTACACTGTCCCTATGTTTCTCTTGATAATCAATCCATATCTTATGGGGAGACTCTTTGAAGTGATGTAAGTATCCTGTTACTCATCAAACTTGTACCCACTAGTTTTGGCATAATCAGTGATTCTTGTCTTCATCAATTATTAATATTATTTTCTAATTTCATTATTTCTTCTGTGTTGTTTAGGTTTTTTCCTACTGACAAAGACTTTTCCTTTCTCTCCCATTTGTCTGTCTGTTTACATCAGTGTGGACCCAGTGAATTCTTATGTTAGTCCGTGGCTTATAACTCTTTACTATCATTATTTATTTTGATGCTCAGATTGTCCCAAGTTTCCAGTAGGAGACTCTTCAGGCTAGTTCCTGTGCTCTATTGTGATGTCCTCATCATACTTTGCGTACTTTGTCACATTCTGGCATAGGATATTCTAGGTTTATCTTGTACTTGCCCTGCCCAGCCCTGGAGTCAGCCATTTCTTCCAGGAACCCTGGTTCTTCTTAGCAGAGAATAGTGTTAGAAATCTATGTCTGATCACTAGGTTTAGACCAATGGGCTACTGTGCCTATCAACAGACAGATTTAGTAAGTAGACATATGTGTGTATACACACACACACACATATATATATATATATTTATACATGTAAATATGTTATATCTATTTTGATGTTTATCTACCTGTATCTATTAAAGAGCATGAATTCATATTGATACCATTAATCCTAGTCCAACATTATAGGGTTCATTCTATCCTTTTCCTATTCATATTTGTGACTCCTCTAACAGTAAGAAATCTAGCTCCCATTATCTATAACATATTTACTTACTTGTTCAGTATTATAACCAGAAAATAGTTTTACAATTACTAGCCTATGGCTCTAAATGAAAGGAGCCTGCTACCTAGAATGCATGTTTGTTTGAGTCTTAACTTGAGGATTTACAGTCTAAATACTGTGTTCAAAAATGCCTTGGGCTAGTTCTTCCCCTCCACCTTCTAACCTTGAATGTGGTTATGTTATCCATTTGAAATACCATTTGGCTCATTAGGATTGGTCCTTAGGAATAAGTTTGTCTTCTTTGTTGCTATTATCAGTGAAGACGTTTTTATTTGTTTTGCTGTTACATACTCTGACTGGTTCCTAATTATTAATATATAAAGACTAGATTTATATATGTTGATATTATATCCTATTCTACTGAGGTTCTTTTTTTTTTTATCATTTCTATTAGTTTTACCATTTGTTTCCTAGAGATTTTCAGATACACAATCACATCTGGAAATAGAGTTTTACCTTTGTTTTTAAGATTCTTATGCCTACGGTTGATTCTCTTAACTAATTGAGTTGGCTGCTACCTCCAGGACTATGTTAAACTAGTCCTGGTGGACTATGTTAAACTAGTGGATAAGGTAGGTATCCTTTCCTGGTTCCAGATCTTAGTGGAAATGTTTGGAGAAGTGTCTTAGCTCAGGTTGCCATAACAAAATACCATAGACTGGGTGGCTTAAAAAATAGCAATTTATTTTCTCACAGTTCTGGAGGATAAAAATCCCAGATCAAGGTGCCAATCAATTGAGTTTCTCTGACTGTTGTTTTGGTTTTTTGTCTTTCAGAATCCTAAAATTACCGCTCTTCTTTGTTTTCTACTTTTACCTTGCATTTTCCAAAGTCTGTCTCTGTTATTTTTAACTCATTTCTTCCACAAACGTATTTTCTATCCAAAATTGCCCCACTTGGGTCCTACAGTCATAAATCTTTTCCTTGTAGTTACTCCCCCCCCCCATAATGAGTCTTTCATTAACTTTTGCCATATAAGTGATTCTTATACCCCATGAAATGTGTTGATATGTTTTGGGATGTGTGAACTTAGTGAAAACAAAATTACTTTTATTCTTTGAGTTTCTTCCTTATTCCATTATCTTTATGAAAAAAACTATTTTATGTCAAATTAAAGCATTAAGTATTGTTTCGTTTGAAAGAAATAGAGTAGAACAATATGATTATCACTGTTAATATTTTACATTTAGAGTAGTTTCCCTTAGACGAGAATTAAAGAAATGATATCTAATCTTAACGACTGTAAGGATTTGCATGACAGATGTGAGAGCCATAGAGATTCATGTGAGACAAGGCCCTAGTCTATGAAAACATGAAGTCAGGAAGGCTGATGCTATCTCATTTTCTCATCATGAAAATACATTGATTACTGTGGATGTTTTTTATGAGAATACTTGATGGAAACTTAAAC